TTTTCCGGTATATATATCCATCCGTAAAATATCAATAGCTTAATCCACTCTCTTTAATGATTACAGTGCTTTAGGCCAAAACCTGGAGACAAGCAACTCCGTTGGGGAGATCTTTTTTGCAATCATCATATGCGTCTCTGGTTTACTCTTGTTTGCTGTGCTCATTGGAAACGTTCAGGTAATACTTATACTTGTACCTCAAGAAAACTAGATTTCTTGATCTCGTAAAAGCTAATTCTTTTGGTGTGATAACAGAAGTACTTGCAATCAACTACAATTAGAGTAGATGAAATGGAGGAGACAAAGAGGGATACAGAGAAATGGATGTCGAATCGGAAGCTACCAGAAGATCTGAAGAAACGCATTAGGAGATACAAAATTAAAAAATGGCGAGAAACCAGAGGCACCGAAGAGGATGCTCATCTTCGTAGCCTTCCAAAAAGCCTCATAATTGAAACCAAGCGCCATCTTTACCTGGATTTCCTGAAAAGGGTAACCATTTTATTTATGAGGTCTTTTCTTTTTGTATTTTTAGACAAATTTTTAGTCAATTTGATTGGAATTAAGTTCAGTTTTGAGATGAATCATAAGCAAACGATCGGTTTATGAATGAAACTCTAGTTCTTTTTTTTTTTTGGTCAATGAGACTCTAGTTCTATTTATCGTTTTGGGTTCAGTTTGGAAAATTGGACTCGGTAAAAAACTGTTTAGTCCTAAGAAACATAATAACTAAAAGATGATTACTTACCACAACTAACATTGCTTACCGCTAATCAAACTTCATTTGTTTGTTTTGTTTTGTTTCAGGTGCCAGAGTTCCAAGCCTTTGATGATCAGCTACTAGACGAATTGTGTGCTCGTCTCAAAACAGTTATTTACACAGAGAACAGTTACATTGTGCGCGAAGGTGATTCACTCGAGGAAATGTTTTTTGTAGTGAGAGGGAATCTAATGAGCTTTACGACTTACGGTGAAAGAAATAGATTTTTACTACGTACTGGTGATTACTGTGGAGATCTTCTCACTTGGGCGTTAGATCCTCATGCTTCACACTTCCCTGTCTCTAGTAGAACCATTCAAGCTCTCACAGAAGTCGAAGTCTCTGTTCTCTCAGTTGATGATCTCAAGTTTGTCTCTACTCTGTATAGCCGCCTCCACAGCAAAGAAGTCCAACACATATTCAGGTGTGCGAGATACTTATCTTATTTCTCAAGTTACCTTGACTGTGATAACCCCAAGTAACTTTTTCTTCTTTGCTTTGTTCACTTCGACAATGTGTTTTATTTCAGGTATCATTCGGTGCAATGGCGAACATGGGCTGCATGTATTATACAAGTAGCATGGGAGAGACATTGTAGAAGGAAGCTCTCAAAAGCTTTACGTGAAGAAGAAGGCAGACTACAAAATAGTCTTCAAAACGATGATTCAGGAGGCAATAAACTTAACTTAAGTGCTGCGATTTACGCATTGAGGTTTGCTTCTCATGCTCTGAAGAATCTAAGGGCAAATGCAGCAGAAAGAAACTCTAGGTTTCCTCATATGTTATCTTTGTTGCCTCAGAAACCAGCTGATCCTGAGTTTCCTATCCTATGGATGAAACCTAATTGTGTTTACTAAGATAGAGTAGACTAAGGAATGTTTGTAGTTCAGCCCAAGTGTTATCACTACTGTTTTCAAATAATTAAGTTTTGACTTAGGAATGTTTTTAGTTCAAGCACTCTCTAGTGATCGATTTGTTTGTATTTTATTTTTTGTCAGAACCGACCTATATGTATACATTTTTTTTTTCAACGTTTAATAATTACAACCACCGAACTATGTATATATGCCAAGTTTCCTAAACTGATTATACTTTCCAAAATTAATTATTGTTATTTCCATTATTTTATCTAATATAATATTAAGTAGCCGTCTAGGGTTTGTGCCTCTTGCAGAACTACAAGTCTACTACAATTCATCTTCTCTTTTCTTGTCATCGTTCTCCATGGGCGAGTCTAGCATGAAATCATACACGGATGCTTTCTTTAAGGCAGAGCCAGAAGATACTTTGGAGAGCAAACTAAATCTCATGATTGAGACAATGGAAGGATTAGCTAATCGTCTTCAACGGATCGAAGCAAAGGTGGCTGATGTACGTACGATTTTGATCTCAGAAAAGAACAAGAAGATTCCTTTTAAAAACGGTCCAGGATATACTAGCTCTTTCGAATCTTCAGATAATCGTCGTGAAGCTCATGCTACATACACTCCTCCACGAAGCAGAATATTTGGTGGTGGTTATGATGATGATCAAACGATTATCGTTAAAGGGTTTGACACTAGGTTAACTGAGTATCAAATCAAGAACGTATTGAGACAATATTTCAGATCATGTGGAGAGATTATAAGAGTTGTTGTTCCAACAGACCAAGAAACCGGTGTTGTCATAGGATGGGCTTACATCATCTAAAGGAAGGTATAGAGAAGGCTTTGAAACTTAATGGAAATGACTTGTTCGGATGGAAACTTGTAGTTGAAAAGGTTACACCGATAAGAGATGGTGGTTATTACAGTTTTGGTCCTTCAGGCACACAAGGTCATTGGCCTTATCCCTACCGTTGTAACGGTCTTGGCCATTGTCGCCACTGTTGAGGCTTTGGTCGCGGAAGAAGAGACGTGGCTCTATAGGAGTCCTTCAACGATTTTTTGTTTACTTGTGATACAATGCAACTTCTTTTTTTAATCGGTCCCTTTTTCTTATGTTCGCTAGTGTAAGTTTTTTTTTCTTCT